AACCGATGCTTAACTCTCGCTTTCAGCAAATAAATTCTCAGTGTCTTTGGTATCAAATTCTAGTTTACCAAATTTTTCCCATTTAAAAATATCCACTAAAAAAATCCTTTTACTGAATAGTTTCCCATTAAAAAAATCCCATCAAAAGTCAGGTAAAATAAAGAAATTTTGTAAAATTTATTTTTTGGTTATCAAATATTAATTCAACAAATGTTAGAATTTTTTCTCACTTTAGAAAACAAGAACGGTAAGCTTTTTTTTTAAAGAATTTTAAAGATTTTATTTTTTCCTTTTTCTCCCCAAAGCGCGCCCCCACCCCCCACCCCGGACGGGTACATAGTTGTATATTTTTAGTTGTGGGTCCTTCTAGTTGTGGCATGTGGGATGCTGCCTCAGCATGGCCTGAAGAGCGGTGCCTAGGATGTCTATGCCTAGGATCCGAACTGGCAAAACCCTGGGCCACCCAAGTGGAGGGCATGAACTCAACCACTTGGCCACAGGGCCAGCCCCTGGTAAGCTATTTTTAATGGGAATTTGACTTCCAAAGAGTTTGAAAGAAATGTTAATTGGGCCTCTCAAAGTAACTAGTAGGCTATATTGTATAAAGAGCTCATTTTACTCCTTTTGAGAAAGAAAAATTCCAAGAGTTGAATAAAAGTTTTACAAAAAAAGGAAAATGTATTTTTTTTTGTTATAAAAGGAAAGATTAGCTAATATTGGACAAACAAAAATTCTAATTGAAAGTGTCCCATGTTCTTATTTTCTAAGGCACCATTTTTACTTCCCTTTCTTCAAATTGTCATTCTGAATTATGACCTTATCTCTAATTAGTCCTATTTTAATCCAAATTAGGAAAACAGCAAGGAAGACAAAACAGAGAAATAAGAGAATGACTACAGGGGGTCCTGGAAACAACTCAAGTGAGGTGATTAGAACGGGAGACGGGTATTAACCAGGAGAAGCCAAGAGCAGAACATTAAGAAAGAACTGGGGCTGGAAGGGGAAGGAGAAAGAAAGGGAGACAGAGAGTGAAGGACACATTGGGAGAGAAAAGGTTGAGAGAAAGAAAGCAAGCAAGTGAGGAACGAAAGGTGAAAAGAAGAAAAGAGAGAAAAAGGAATTAAAAAGAAATCAAAAACCCAAATCAAAGTTTGCTTATACACTATATAAAGTTAACAAGGCTTAGAATAATGACAAATGTAGTATACGGATAAGTAATTTTTCAAAAAATAAATGTGCATTCTTTCATGGTAATAAGAGCTCTTATGCTAAGACTTCAATTCAAAAGCCCTAGCCCGAATTCTGGTGTGAAGCTAGATACGGAGAGCAGAACAACTAGCCCAGAAGTAGAGTCTGGTACAGTCATCCGTCACTTAATGGGACACATTCTAAGAAACGCATCGTTAGGTGCTTTCGTCATTGTGTGAACATCACAGAGCGCACTTATACAAACCTAGATGGTGTAGCCACTACACACCTAGGCTGTATGGTACTAATCTTAGGGACCACCATCGTCTATATGGTCCCTCACTGACCAAAACTTCGTATCGCGATGCGTGACTGTACATTTGATAACTTGATGTATGATTTTTAAAATCACAAATCAGTGGACACGTGATAGGTTCTTTATTAAATGATCCAGGAATATTAGCTAACTGTTTATAAAAATTAGTATTTAAATCCTAAGAAAAATAATGGAAGCCAACCCCCCCCCCCCAAAACTTCAATATGTCAAAAAGGGGAAATAAACTACTGAGAAAAGAGATTTTTGCAACAAACTGGTAAGGACTAGTGTCCTTAATATTTAAATAGTTTATACAAACCAATAAAAAAAAAACTAAGAGCACTTCTGATAGAAAATGAATAAAGGACATAGCAGACAATAAAAAATGAAAATGGCCAGTATTCATATGAAAAAATATTCACTTGTGCTAGAAATTTTTCAAAGAAGTAAGTTAAAATATAAATGCAATGTTCATTTAACAAATCAGAATGATTAAACATGATAATGTTCAATGTTGACAAGCTCTAGTGAGATGTTCACTTAAAATGTTGCTGATAGTGATACAAAATAGTATACCCTTTTGGACGACAACGTAGAATGATGTATCAAATAGCTTAAAAAGAAATACACTTTTGACTTAATGAAGTCAGAAATACAGACAAAGATTTGGGTAAAAGGATATTCATTCCAGTTATTTATAATAGTAGTCTATTGGGAAATGGTTACGTAAATACAGAATTTATTTTTGGGTGTGATATGAAGTAGGATTTTAATTGAATTTTTTCCCATGTGGTTAAAAATGACCCAGCATCATTTCCTGACTAGTTCAACCTTTCCCCAGTGACGTAAGACTATACCTCTGTTTCCACATGTGTAGTAGTCTGTTTCTAGGCATTCCATTCTCTTCCACTGGTCTCTTTATTACCCCACGTTGATATTTCATAGACTTAATGGCACAATTTTAGAATGAGTCTTGATATTGGGTAGAACAAGTTTCTCTGCTTTCATATTGTTTCAAAAACATTTTGGCTGTTTCTCCCCTCCCACCTTTCTTACTCCACATACATTTTAGAAACAGCTTATTAAGGTCCTGCCCAAGATCCTTTTGGGATTTTGAATAGAATTGAATTTATAGACGAATTTGAGAGAAATGATATCTTTTAGATTCTAAGACTTTCCATTAAAGAACATGATATAGGTCTTCATTTATTTAAATATTCTTTTATGTATATGCATATATCTCTATCTATATCTGTATCTAACGGGATGATACAACTTTCGTTACATTTATTCCTTATATGAACTTTATTATTTTATTGCTATTATAAATGGAATCTTAAAGATTTAACTTTCTGCTTTTGGCTAGTATAGAGAAATGAAACTGATTTTTGTATACTGATCTTGTATCTAGCAACTTAGAGAAACTTTTAACGTGTTTGCTTCCTGATGGCCCACATCCCCCTGTATAACTCTGGGGTATGAAACCTGTCAGGCATCATTCAGAATATGAGTGTCATCTGGGGAGAAAGCAGACAAGAGGGTCACCCATCCCCTCCCAACTCCAGCAAAAATGAGACATGGAGGAATCTCCTCTGAAGTGGTGCCCATCTAGACGAGGGAGCCCTTGTCTCTCTGAGGTGACTGCACAGGACTTACAGACTTTCCAAGCTTTCAGGTGTTAGCCTACCCGTCACCCTTCACAGACTAACCTTATTGGCACCTGCCAACCCTCATCTGTGCCTGCCCTTATTCCCTATTACAGAATCCCATTCATGCCCTTCTGTAGGTAATGATCACACTTTGTGAGTGTTTGTTTGGCAATATTCCTGTTTACTGCCTGTTCTCTCCATCAATTGTGAGCTTCATAAGGGCAGAGGCCAGGTCTGTGTTCTGCATTCCTGGCATCTGCCACCAAGCTCAATAAATATTTATAGGCTGAGTGCATGAGTTAAATATGTCAAAGATCTGTTTCAATTTTTAATGTTAATAATACTTTATATCATAATTTAAAACATATTTTACTTGTATAATTTTATCTTCATAACTGCCTTTAAAATAGGCATTATTAGTCCCTATTTGACACAGGAGCTAACTAAGGCAGCAGGAAATAAGTAACATGGTCCAAATTAAAAGCTAGAAATCAGTGGAGTTGAAAACAGAACCCAAATCACTTAACTCAAAATCTAATTCAAAAACCATATAAAAAAAGAAAAAGAGAAAGAGATGAGGAAGGGTGGGAGGGAAGCAAGATAAAGGAAGAACAGAGCAAGGAAAGTCCATTCATTCCTGAACTTTCCATGTCAAGGGCATATCGTACTATTTGTCCTGCTAAGGACTCCTTAAATCTTGTACTTCAAGCCTTTTATGAAACCTCATACCTCTCTAAGACATTTCATGGCCAGGAGACAGATTAAGAATACTTCCAAGCAACACTGTTCTACATGAATCACACAGAGTGGAAAATAAAGGAGTTTGCAGGAATAGGATAAGTCTCTTTTTCTCTGCTACATGTCACCAGCATAAAACTTGCTGGTGAAGTCAGGACACATAATCGAGTCTGATAATTGTAAAAAGTACATACAACATGACTTACTTTCAATTTCAAGTTCCAATTCATTCTCTCATAATTTTTCTGCCTTAGTCAACATTACAGAAAACTTTGGCTCTCTCTTAACATTTAAAAGCCAGATGAGAATATCTTCCCAGTTTTACTGTAGTTATGAAGGTGGAAATAGTTACTTTCTAAGGGAATCATTTAAAGAAAGAACACTGGGCACCAGCCCAGTGGCTTAGTGGTTATGTTTGCATGCTCTACTTCAGTGGCCCAGGATTTGGGGGTTTGGATCCCAGGCACAGACCTACACACTGCTCCTCAGGCCATGCTGTGGCGGCCTCCCACATACAAAATAGAGGAAGATTGGCACAGACATTAGCTCAGGGCCAATCTTCCTTACCAAAAAAAAAAAAGAAAGAAAGAATACTGCACTCCACATCTTGTTTTAATCAATGACACTATATGTCCCTCTCCTTTCTTTGTCCTTAAGTCTGATGATAAAACGATCAGTAGTTTCTGTTAATTCTGATTAGGAGACTTCATCTAGTGAAGTTATAAGAAGGAAAGGAATCCCCTACTGTTCCCAGTCTCCATGTAGTAAAAGAATCGTCCCAGCCCCTAAGTTAATAACACTAATTTTGTGATTTGGAGGGAAAAGTACTTTCCTGCCAAATGGTAACCCATATCTAAGAGCTGACTGCTGGTGAAACACTGTAAGAATGAGACCTCACTATGAACCTATCGACACGAGGACTAAATCACTGGGGAGTGTCACTCACCTCTTCCTGAACCCAAACAGACAGCAATGATACAGTTTTGATGACATTCTGTCTGCCACAGCCTCTGACATGATGCTTCATTCTTAATCCAAAGTGGTGGATCAGGGATGGACAGTGGCATGTCCCAGAGCGTAGGGATCACAACCTCAGGACCCCGACATACCCATGACTGAGACATCATATTCTATCAGAAGCGTTGCTTCTTGTCCACACTGTTTAAGAATACTCATGGCTTCGGCATGCGTGGTTCCAAGAAGCCGAATTCCGTCCACACTGAGCAACCTATCGCCAGGTTTGATGGTGCCCTCTCTGAAGGGAGAACAAAGGAACAGTCTTAATTAATTTAGCGTAATGAGGCTTAGCATTAACAGTCAGTTAGCCAAAGTGGTTCTTTCACACACACACACACACACACACACTCTGCCATCCATCCCATTTGCATTTCCTTTTATGCATCAAGTATGACAGCAAGAGAGTAAAGAGGTAACCAAAACAGACAATTGCTGCTATGAAAATCAGTAATAAAAAATATACACATTGGCAAATAACCAGGTTACCCACAATTAACTTTGGGGTACAAAAGTAATAAAGGTGCATTTTCCCTTTTCTAGGGTTTTGCCTACATGTCTAAAATTGATTTATTAGAGCCCAGAAAATAGCATTTACCTCTGTTCCCAAAGCCAGGTAAGAAGAGAAGCCTGCTGACTCCACTCAATTTATTACCAGTGAGGCCAAGCGGTTTAGGGAGCGCGGGTGAAAATGCCCCTAGTCTGTAAATTTTCCCACTGATTTATAAGGCCATTTGGCAATCATTAAATTGATTCAGTCTCGTGTTCCCTGGAAGAGACAGGAAAGACGACTTTCCCTGCTGTGATCACAGACACTTAGGGTGTTGAGAGAAGATGCCTCAGGACATTACTGACACCACTCAGGTGTGGCCAGGGCAGCTTCCACATTATGACCCTCCTGCCTCATGGGGGTCATGGAAATGAGAAAACCAAACGGGGGGATTACACGTGTAGGATGTGGAGAGAATAAAAATGATCTTAAATATCTTTCACCTAGGTAATTCTGTAAGCAATTTGACTCTAAATTTTTATCTTAAATTCCTAGATTTCCTATCGTCCTACATTCATTTGGTAATATGTCGCTCACAAACTAGTAATCTGCTTCTGACATTTCTGTCCACTCCAACTTTGAGTGTCCATAGGAAATGGAAGATTCCCGTTTAATTCAGGAAGAATGATTGACAAGGGAAGCACAAGAAGGGAAAACGCAAAGTTCCCCTGGAAACCAGGACTTTGTATTGTCGTCTGCAAAGGCAAACATACTTTAGCCCAGGTGAGAAACCAGCGTCTTCCTATTCTCTGACTTTATGTTAAACATCATCTTTTTCAAAAAGTGAGCTCACACATGAGCTTTCAAGGAAAAGAGACCTGAGTCCTATCCTCGTTCTTCCGTGCACTAGCTGGCAAGGCATCTAACCAGCCTGGCCTCAGTTCCGTCACCTGTAGATGTGAATAAAAACACCTCGTTTAGCAGGGGGTGGCGAGGATAAAATAAGATAACGCCTGCCAAGCACTCAGCACGTTTCCCAGCACATGGTAGGTGCTCAACAAATAGTACCTATTATTATTACTATTTCTTTGCTTAAGAAAAGGTTTTAAAAGTTCATCCTGGGCTGAAGCATAGTGTGCAGTCAGGGTAATCTGCATTTTCCTCCCATCCTCCAACCATATCTGAGGGCAGGAGTTGTGGTCCCTACAATTACGAAGTTGACTTTTGCTGTGGGAAATTAATACAAAGGTGAGCAGCTCCTGAGACTTCTAAGTTGGGAGTTTACCTGGGACCCATCCCCCAACGTTTATGATAGGAATGCTGAAGGAGCCACCCTTCAGATACTCAAATGATCAAAGATGAGAAAGCAGACATTGACCATATTCCTTCCCTTTTACTAAAAGTCACTTCCATTCTGACACACATCATCATCAACAACAGGTAAGCATAACAATGATAAGGATGTTGACAATGTAACAATCAGAACACCACTGCCTATCTTTCCAGGTTAGGAGATCAGCAATTGGCCACGATGCCTTTCAAGGGCCTGCCTTCAAAGAGCCATCTGCCCTTTGTTAAGTGCCTCCGGTATGACAGGCCCGTATATCTCCAATCTTTGATAAAAGTGAACAACCCTGAAAGGAAGGTGTTATTATCTACATTTTACAATGGGGAAACTGAGCTCAGAATTGTTGAGTCCCTTGCTGGAGACAAAGGGTGGTGAAAGGTGGAATCCAGTCAGACCGTCTGCTTCCGATTCCGCAGCCAAAACTCTTTCAGTTTTCACATTCTAACATATTTATCGAAAATCTATCTTTTACTATGAAATTTGTAACTCATCAACTTCTGCGCCAAAGTCTCGGCTTTATTTAATCTGTTTGGATGATGACACAGACAGACGGAGTTACCTGTCCGCAGGCCCTCCCGGACGAACACACGTGATCACAACCGGACGAGATTTATTTCTGTCATCATGCGCTCCCCCTGGCAGAGGAGAGAAACACCGCTTAAACAATTCTTTCATTAAAAAACTCACTTACAAAATTACAGCTGAGAAACTGAGGTACATTTTGTTGATGTGGGGAGGAAAACATGTAAAATTTTCCTTCTGGTATATAATAGCCTTAAAAATCTTATTCATTTCATATAGAATATGTTTTTGAAATCACCATTTAACGAGTGTGACAAGAGCATCCACTAATTACAACTACGAGCCCCGTTAGAAGAGCCGCCAGTTATAAACAAAGTGCAGGTGGGTGTGCTTGGTGCCCATTAACCTGGGCTACAATACAGGTGAGCGAGTCTACAGCCTGACATAAAGGAAGCAGAAAGGTAAAAGAAAAAATCCAAGTATTAAAAAAAGAAAGAGGAAAAAATTCAAGTGACTGAACTGGCCTCCATTAAAATTGGAGTGTTCACCTACAACATGACTGACAAACAATAATGTACAATTGAAATTTCACGAGGTTGTAAACTATCATAATCTCAACAAAAAGTTAAAAAAAAGTTGGGGTGTTCAAAACTTTTGGGCAAATTTGACAGATTGTGTCAAACCAATTGCAATGCTTAGATGGGAATTTTAATTTTGTATAAGGAAAATTTCTCCTCAAGAATTCTTAGAAACATAGAAGCTTTGAGACGAAAGGTAATTTATTATAAATTCTCTTTTCCCAGAGGACCCCTTTGTACTCCCTCTTTAATCTGTGCTCCCTCAGCCTCTACCTGGGATCCACCAGTTGACCTCCTTATGAGACTGAGGCAGGCCACCCCACCTTTGGACACCTAGGTGTGTTGGAAGGTTCTTCCTAACATTCAGCTGATATCTATCTTCCTCCAACCTTCATGCACTGGTCCTTGTTCTATTATCTAGAGCAGTGAAACAAAAATGTAAGTTCTCTTCTACAAGAAAGTTTTTTTAAAGTTGAAAATAGTGATTATACACCTGCTAAGTCTCATCTCCTTAAGGCTGAACACTTCCCGTTTCTCAACTACTCTTCACGGGACCTGATTTCCTCGTACATCACCATCCTGGCTGCCCTCTGGGTGGTCCCTACTTTGCCAGTATCTGATAAATACGAATATTACTATCAAGGATTCTTTCCCTAATGCTTGCCTGGTAGAACAGACTGACATTCCCCTAACTTGGCACAGGGAGAGGGGTCAACTTAAAGAACCCAGCCTAAGAGAAGAAAAGGCGTTCACTGTTCCTGACAAAGGGAAACACTGCCTTTCTGCTCACCTCCATTACAAGCAACTTATTCCATCTGGCTGATGGGTATAAGCTACACTTCAATGTTTTATTCTCTCATTCAGTTGGATGGCTTATTTTAAAATTCCTCCTTACTTAAAATAGGAAAGTCACAACTTTTGCAGAAAAAGTTCTTAATATGAAAATCATGACAATACCTTACAGCACATGCTTACCCATATTTATATAAATACCATTATGTAACTTCTCTTTTGCAAGGTGTTCACAAAAAGATAGCTTTGCTTTCCCCCTTTTACAAAAGGATCGGCAGAAGACAGTAAGAAAATTTCCATAACTTTGGTTTGGAGTTCTAAATTTAAATATATAACAGTGAGCGCATGTTAAGGTGTGAGAGAGAGCTCTACATTTCTTGATATGTGACATTTTATCATTATTTAAAACAATGAGCTTGGTTTATGATTCACTTAGGTTCTAGAAGTTTGAGTTGCAAAGCAAAACAGAGCCCACGCAGAGCCCAGGGGTCTTCTCAATCCTGGCTGCACGTTAGCATGACCCACTTGGGATGCTTTTTAAACAATATCATTGCTAGGACCGCAGTGTAGGCCGAATCTGGATATGGAGCTTTACATGGTAAACAGGTAGACCAACCTACAATTTTAGAGTTGAGAATACCAGATAGAGAAAGTTTCCTTGTCCAAGGTGAAAAGCAACCGAGTGGCAGAGTAGCTTTCCTATTAGCCCAAGCTGTCTTAGCTTGGCAGCAAGGGACTTCACTAAAATTTAACTCTCTGAGATTTAGGCCAGAACACCGTTTTTCATTCTATGGGTGCAAGGTTCTATTGTCTGGAGAGTCAAAGTTTTAGAACCTGTGACATATAAGTGACTACAACATACCAGGTAGTATTCTATGCTCATACTAAGAAACTCTTCCCATGCACGCACACACATACAGATATTTGAAACCCCTGCAACTTGCAGGAAGGACATTTTGTCAACAATAGATCATCAGTTGTCTTGAGGTGGTTGTGGATTTCAGCTGCTTCTGTTCTTTCTGGTTCTTGAGTGATAAATCACCGTTGGTTTAGTTCTTTCATGAGCAATTGGATTTGCTATTGATTAACCATACGGCAGCTAGTGAGGAAGACCTGCACCAGCAGGGTTTTTTCACCGCAGCTTTTCGACGATTAGGTTTGTAGGCATGCGATTCAAGCACACCTCTTTTTCAGCTGTACTGCAAAAACAGATTTGTTTATACCACCCTCAGAGCTAAAATTACCTGTACACTGAATTTGCATTACATTTATCTAGTTTTTCGACACAGAAATTTGGGAATGGTTAAGGTAAATGATCTTAGGGTCTGGTGTTCCACCTGAAAATAGGACTTGGTCAGAAAACTGTAAAAACTACTGATCTAAATCACTCAATGAGTTCCTACTTGCCCATTTTCTCTAACACTCACTTGGGCACTTTATCAACTTATGTCTTAAATTCACTGGACTGTAATTCCCTGTAGATCAGGGTCTTGTCTCATGGCTCCATAGCACTTGGCCCTATGCTGCCATGTTGACATGTCCTTAATAAATATTTGATTGATTGATTTGCTAAATGACTGACACAGAATGGAACCTTATGCTTAAAGCTCAGTCATTTAAGACGATTCTATGTAAGTGAACACACCTCTTTCATCCCTTGACGCATGTATATTTATTAAGATGCTTAGTTAATTTTAAATAATGTTTTAATAATTTTGATAGAATTTTGACTTTAGTCAAGTTCAAAATGTAATAGGTGAAAACAAAAAAGTCAAGAAATGTGCAAAAATTCCTGATGCTTATCTAGTTCCCTATTGAACCTCATTGTCATGCTAGGAATTACAAACTGTTAATATATGCGTAGTCTTTCAGAGACAAAATTGCTAATAAGAAAAATAAAATATTAAAAGCCAGAATTACAGCTCAGAATTAATGGTTTTATAAACAAGTTGGAGTCACCTGAAATCTTTACTATTAATGTCGTCCAATGAGATAAGTTGAGCTGATGCACATAGGTGCCCAAGAGATGAGATTATCTTCAGTCTATTTTAAGAAAGCTACAATAACAAAATGCATTGCAGGAGAAAACAATTTAAGCAAAGTTGCTTAATCCTAGTGCATTAACCAAATCAAGCCATACTCATCAACATTTTTAACTCAGTGATAGAGAAAAGGGAAGGCAAAAGGTAGGTTGACAAGTGGCAGGTCAGTAGGATGACCGTGAACTGACAAGGTTTACACACAGTGGCTGCTCTGTATTAACAGACTGAAAATAAAGCCAGGTCATTTGGATTCCACCTTGATTCTCACTCCTTGCTTTATTTCCTTAAAGATGAGTGGGTACAAATATTACAAGGTGACTTTAACACTGGAAATACCAATTTTTTGAGGATGACTTTCTAGTTCACTCCCAATATTTCATTGAAAAATTCTCCAAAAATCTCTGATGGTTCATATTTTCTAACCACCACCTACCTCGTATCACAAAGCCAAAAGTATTGCCTTCTTTATGTAATGTGACCTCCACTGTCCGGAATATAACACTCGATCCTTGAACAGCTGAATGCAGGAGAGAGAGGGAAATATGTCTTAAATCATAACAACATTTCTAAGTTCTAAGATCCTTGTTGCAAATAATTCTTGTTTTGAGTAATAAAAAAGTAATAATTTCCTTTCAAAGAAAATGTTAGAAAAAATAATTGAAACAACGTACAAATACTATAAAATGCTCATCTGCATGAGTGACTCCTGGAGGTGCAAGTGGACTCAAAATCATAGGTACTTGTTTCTAGATAGACGGTAATATTCACATTGTTAATTACTCTACATAATAAGAGGGACAATCTTCTTATGATAAATAGAATTGCTTTCCCTTTGGAAAACGCACAAACAATAGGATTTTTATAAAACTTATGAAATAATTAATACTTATTTTTGCAGCTAGCACTGGAAGAAAAAGCATTACTCTCAGATCGCCATTAATAGATTAGGCTGATGCAGATAGGTTTTCTGACATAATGCATAGCAATTAAACCAAGACATCAGCAACCCAAACGAAGCTTGGAGGGCAAAAGAAATTCTAAATATGCTCAAAATATTACGACTGACTAATAAAATAAAGGTTTACTTAATTTTATTAATACCCTCATTCTTAGGTTGTATTTGCTTGCTTATTGCTCTCATTTCACAAAATGAAATTGCATTGCCAAGTTGCAATCTCTATTATATTACACACAGTATGAGGGTATAAGTTGTATAAACGTATAGTCTCTAAAATATTCTGTAAGACTGCTTTCGAGAAACTGGTGAGTAATTCCGGTTGTACAGTATACTATTGCTGAGTTTAAAAAGACACATTTCCACAAATTAATATTTTACCATTATGGATACAAGGACGTTTTTATTTATGGAGACAAAAGTTTGCAAACTGCAGAAGTCGATGGCCTTAGATCCTGTCATGAACTTGTACAATGATATCTAATTATCTGATGCTGGGTTCATTATTTATTTATTTTTTTTGAGGATGATTAGCCCTGAGCTAGCTGCTGCCAATCCTCTTCTTTTTGCTGAGGAAGACTGGCCTTGAGCTAATATCTGTGCCCACCTTCCTCTACTTTATATGTGGGACCCCTACCACAGCATGGCTTGCCAAGCTGTGCCATGTCTGCACCTGGGATCCAAACCAGCGAACCCCACACCGCCAAAGTGGAAAGTGCCCACTTAACCGCTGTGCTACCAGGCCGGCCCCTGGGTTCATTATTAATAACACATTTTTTACATTGTTACTAGATCCTGAAGAGTTTATTACATAAAACTATCAATAAGAAATAGACAGAATTTAAAGGTATCTTTTAAAAGAACATTTCTTGCCATTTGCAGAAATAAGAAGTAATTTTAATTAAGCATTAACTACAATTATTTTTAATTATCAGATATTCCAAATCCTCAAAGGAATGGACATGATTATGAAAAGTACAAAGTTAAATTCGCAGAAGTACACACATCCGGCTGGCACAGAAAGTACAATAAGAACTTGGATCTGTTGGAAAACAACATAAACCAACAGCTGAACAAATGTTTCGGTACACTGCTGATTTAATTAAACGTCATATTCTCGCTATCAGGGGAATTTCAGTTTATTTTAATCAACTAGCAACAGTACATAACAAATAGCAGAAAGTGTTGAGGTACAGTTTTAATTAAATGAAAAAAAAACTGAGTTTAAACCAAATGTTTTCTTATTTTCATGACCTGACAAGCCACCTGAACAACTGGTTGAGAACACGATCTTTTTGTTCTCCTGGTGAGGGAGGAAAGGAGAAGATAGGGGGAGAAATAATTAATGAGCATCTACTGTGTGCCAGGAACTGCAAAATGGTTTACAAATATTATTTCATTTAATCATTAAATCAACTTTCAATTATATACGAGCAAATCCTAATTCTGGGCCACCTGTCCTTGTTGGCTGGGTGTCTGTTCTGGGAACGCAAAGCACTATAATTTTAATTTAACGTGAGCTAAATCTTGCTGACCACAAAATCTTACAATCAAATCTAAAGTCAATATACAGACTTTTGGGATTATCTACAGCTGTAGATTACCACGCTATTGCCGTTCATCATTCACAAAGATAAATGTGAATGTTGACTACGTTTTAATATATTTAAAGAAACAGATTTGGTCTTTCTACTTTTTATTTGCACGACTGGCACTTGGTGACTGGGTTTTCATATTTGACACCAGGACATCCTGTATTGCCATGTGAATTTTACTCATTACTTCACAGGTATGTATGTGGAAATAAAGATCCAATTAAGGGACTTGCCCAAAGAACCAAATCTGGTACCTAGAACGGCTAGGTAGAGACCAATGTCACAATGCAAAAATACTCCTTAGTAATTTAGTGCACTGTTGTCCCTTGTTTCCATGTGAATATTCATGTATAGAAGTACATGCATATTCATTATTTTGCTATGGAAGACTAGCTTTTTCTAAATTATATATGACTACTTCTCTGCCTGCCCAGCTCCCACCTCAACAGGAGAAGAGGAGTTGGGTACTTTCCCACCTCTTCATGTTAGGCTTGCCCCCGTGACTTGCTTGGGATGTTAAGAGATGCAAGCAGAGGTTGGAAATGTGCTTCTGTGGTTGGGCGTGTCCTGTTTTCCCTCTGCCATTGCCACAGGAAGAGCTTTCCCTGGGTAGCTGCTGCTCCTTCAGACTGAATCCCAGAATGAACGGCGTGGCTGAGGCCTGAGACTCCTCCCCGCCTCCTCCATCATCATCATCATCATCATCATCATCATCATCATCATCATCATCATCTATCTCTCCTAGAACTAGAATTGAGAAGGAAGAAGGCTGTCACAGGGACATGTGTTAACATATTTATTTGAACCAAAGAAAGACTCCTTCTGACAGAAAGCTAGTCTGATGTAGTGAGGACTGCCTTTGACAATCAGACTCGGTGGCAGACATTTGCCTTAAAATAAATGAGGTAAATCTGTAGCTCCAAGGTTTGAGTGGAAACAGTATCTAAAGATGGATAAAATAAACAGCACACCAGAAATTACATCCTTTCCAACTATTTAAGCTTATCATGAAGAATTTTAAGCATTAACTAAAAATTAGATGAGGATTACATGATATTCAAAATTCTCTAGGGGTTATATGGCCAAGAAATTGGAAGGCACTGCTCTATACCAACTTTTAATACATAAATACCCAAGATATAGTTTGGTAATACTCTCTCTAAATACAGTCTCAAAACACCAAATAATTTTTAAGTCAAAAAGAACTTAAGAGCTCATGTAGATCGACCATTTCATTTTCATAAAGAAACTAAATCTTAGAAAAGGTGAGTGGCTTGCCAAGGTCAAAGTTCCATTTTTCCTCTATCAGGTCTCTCCCTCTCTCTCTCTCTTTCTCTCTCTCTCCCTTCCTCTCTCTCCCTTCCTCTCTCTCTCTTCCTCTCTCTCTCTTACACACACACACACACACGCACACACACACACCCCCTCTCATCCCTCCTCCACTTCTTTCTGGACTCTAGGGTTGGCTGAGCCTCAAGTTGCTGTGATGTCTGAGCGAGGGAGCAGTGTCCGCCTGGGCTCTCCTTCAGCAGCAGTGTCTTCCCAGGCTGGCTGCTGGCGGCTTGCTCCCCCTCTGCCTGTCTGAGCCAAGGGAAGAGCAGGCTTATCAATCCCTTCAACCTCCCTGAACTCAAAGATCTTATTAATTTATCCAAACATAATAGAAAGAGACCTTGATAATCCTTGAAGAATAGACCTCTTCTATCTGATTTCCACCATAAAATTAACATTTTTGTGTTTAAAAATATTTTTCCCTTTTCTCATAAGCTTTATTATGTGAGGAAGGAAAAGGTGGTATAATCACCAAGCCATGACAGGTTTTAACCCCTGAATGTTTCTGATACCCACTCTCTCCTCTAACCCTACTAATGCTATATTTACTCAGGATATCACTTCTCTTTTGGAAAATTATATCAGCCTCAGGCTTATAGCTTCTGATCTGTTCTCCATTTGACTTCTTAAAATGTTAAGTCTGAAAACTCAGATCTGGTGATGCTGTTCCCTGTCTTTAAAAGCCTTAAAGGCTCCTTCTTGCCCCCTTGACGCCATCCAAGCTCTACCGATACGGCTCACGAGGCCCTCCATCGCTTCGTTCCTGTTTACCTCTCTGGCCTCCTCCCTCTCTGATGTTCCCTTTGTGCTCTAGCAACTCCAATCTGTTTGTAGTTTAAGCTGTGCACTGGGTTTTCTTCTTACCTTCTTGCCGTACTCTCTGCCTGAATGCTCCTCTTCCTATTGGAACTGCACGATCTCCTTCGCATCTTTCCAGAAACCCCCCGCTCTGGCTCACCCATCCCTCAGCAAATCACTACTGGCCTTTCCCCTGAAAGCTATACCAGGAGCTCCTCTAGGAAGAGGCCATGTCTTATTGATTTTCACATCCCCAGGGGAATAAAAATGCTTCCTGAAAGAGCGTTAGCTCTGGCTATTTGGCTTCTCTTCACTCCTTGGCCATAAGAGTCATTTCAAACCAAACTGACTCTTTTAAAGGTCAAGAAAACACAGTAGTTTCAGTGTAATAATAATAATACTCATAATAATGGCTAACACATACCACGGCTGATCGAATCCCAATAATGATCTAAATTCTTTACATGATTATAGCCTCAAATTCTTACAGAAATTGTACACCTATTACAGCCATTTTACAGATGAGAAACCTAAGGCTCCGAGAACTTAAATAACACACCCGAGGTCGCAAAGCTAGAAAGGGGCAAAACTGACATTCAAGCAGTGACACAGTCCAAGCTCTCAACAATCTATTTCACTGCCTACTCTTGCTAAAAATGAAAAACGTTGTAACAAGGTTTTTGAGCACAGACTTTAATTGATTTTGCTATAAAATCACCATCAGATGTTCAGTGTTAGATTTTATGTGAAGAATAAGAACTCACGATTGGTTATGTACACGGAAGCCGTGAGCGCTGTCATCCGGCCCAGAGCTTCAAACACCATCTACATCCTCTCTACTCTTCAATTTACATTTCCAGTCCAGATCGTTCTCCCAAACTCCAAACCGTCTCTCCAGCTCTTGACATTTCCTCTTTGCATGTTAAACAGGCACCTCAACAGCTCCTCAAACGAACTTGTGATCTTCCCCTCACAAACCAGCTCCTACCCACCCCCATTAGTGGAACCCCACCCTTCAGTTGCTCAGGCTCAACACCTGGCGTGGTCTTTGACTCTGTTTTTGCACAACTCACATCAAACCCACCAGGAAATCCTGTTGGCTCCATCTTCAAAACAGATGGAGAATGTGACTGTGTGTCTCTGTCTCCACCACCGTCTCTCCCCTGGATCACTGCAAGACCCCCCAAGCTTCTCCCAGCTTCTACCTCTGACCCCTGCTGTCTGTTCTCAAAACAGCCTCTAGAGGCAGCCTTTGAAGACACAAATCAGGTCATGTCACTCCTCTGCCCCAACCACACAAGCCTTCCTGTATCATTTGGAGCAAAACCTACGGTCCTTCCAATGGCCTACAAGGACACCCTATCCTGTACATTTCTGACCACCTCTCTACTTCTCTTCCTGCTGACTCTGCTCCAGCCACACTGCTCTTCTGAGTGTTTCTAGAACAACCCCAGATATATTCGTGCCTTTTGATCTTAGCACTGGCTGTTCCATCTTTCTAGAATTCTCTTGCCCCAGAAATACATATAGCTGACTTCCTCAGCTCCTTCCAGTCATTGACTAATGTCACTTTCCAAATGAAGCTGTTCTTAACCCCCCCCATTTAAAATTGCGGTCCCACCCCAATGCCACACTCTCAATCCTTCTCCTTGCTCTACTTCCTTTTTCCCACGGCATTCATACTGTGTAATTGACTGACTTAGTGTGGTTTTATGTTATTACCTGTCTTCCCCTGCTAGAATGTAAATCCACTGACGTACCTGGTGGTGGCTAGAACACAGGAAATGCTCAGTAAGTCATTGCTAAACAAATGCATTATCGACTATGGATAACCAGTCTGAGTTCTCACCAGGACAGAAGAGCCACGAGCTCTCCCAGGGTGGCACCCATGTCAATAGCTCAATAACAGGAGAGGTGGTGGAAGGCCAGCATAGCTTACATGCAGGGCAGCAGTAACACATCGCACGAAGCATCCCTCACAATGAACAAGCGCCCGGACTTTGAGTCAGGAGCCTGGGTTCAGACACTGACTATGCCGCCTACTCATTTGGGAAAGATACTTAACTTAAGCCTCTGTAAAATGAGAATGATAATGATAATTATGCCTCTCTTGTAGTGTTGACTGATATGTGTATTTATTACATATCAAAAATTTTTATAGTACCAGACACTGTTCTAAGTGCTTTACAAATACTAACTCATTTAATCCTCACAACAGATCCATGAGTAGAAACTAATATTATTCCCATTTTCCAGATGTGGAAACTGAGACACAGAAAGCTTGAGTAACTTTCTCAAAGGCATGCAGCTCGTAAGAGGTGGAGCTGGGATCTGAACCCGGCTCTCTGACACCGCAGTTCGGCTCTGCTCTGCTGACCCTCCTTATGCTGAGGATTTAAGTGTATCAATGTAAGTCAGGTTCCTTATAACGCCAGACGTTTAGTAAGCTCTCAAAGTGCGTTGGCCGCTCTTTTCATTATTACTTGATAATAACGTATTCTGAATCAATTTTCACGCTTCAGAAATTAATGTAACTATATAAGAATCAATATAAAACACATTAAACGTGCTTTGCCTACACCTAGTCACTAAGTACAGAGCCTGGATGGTGTTTAATGCACAGAACATATAAACATGTTGACTGTTTATTAAAATAGCTTAAGGGCAAATATGATGTTCATAGATCACCCTAATGGAACTTGAGTCCCATATGATTTCATTACTATCTATGTTCTTTTTAATGCTTTCTGGGTAAGTTTCTGTAAGTTTATACATTCAAATAATTTTTAAATACCAAAAAGCTATGCTCTGCTATTCCTGTAATGAGATGATGGCAAAAGAGAAAAAAGTGAGAAGCCAATTGTTTTAGGCAAAAACGTGGCGCAGCTGTCCCGCCCCTGAGTTGGGATGACTTACAGACAGGAGGCAGCTCATACTCGACTTCAAGAACCACTCTTTCTCCAACATTCTTCAGGAGGCTGATGATCTCGTCATGGCGGAATTTGGCCAGATTGATCCCATTCACTGCTTTGATGTAGTCCCCCACATCCAGCTGATCACTTCTGCAAAACAGGGAATGTCGCTTCAGAGGACCATCCTTTCCGCAGGCCAGTCTGACTGTATTTTCCAGTTCCCTGCGTGGGTAAGCTGCAAGCCCAGGAGCCGACAGTAGAGTAGAAGTCCCTGCCTCCCAGGAACGGCTGGCCCCTCGGAGCAGGAGCAGAGCCGAGGGCAGACAAGAGATCAATGGGTCCCTCTTAGTCTTGCTGTTACACTTTTGAAGTATGCGTGGGTCTGCTACTGTCTCTGATTTTTTTTCCTAACCCTTTGCTTCTTTTATTTTTAGAGAGCACCACAGAACAAAACAAAGAGAAAAATCTTTTTAGTTGCTTTGCCCATAAAGAGTTGGTTCTCTGGGGGAATATTAGCCAGATCGCGGACACACCAGAGCTTTTTCTTTCTTCCCATTCCCTCCCCTTTTTGCTGCCTGCCATTTGGACATTTCACAGCTTTCAATACCTTCACTGGGAGTTTGCCTAGGGCCATGGAAAGGGTCAGCTTATTTTGCTATTTATTGCTTACAGCAGGACTGATAAAAAAGAGTACTGGTGAAGAAGAAATTACTGGGTTTCAGTAACATTCTCCTCTCTTTTCAGCACCGTAATAGAATCTTGGCTATTTCTGGGCTTCTACTCAAACTCTAGTTCTAAACTGAGAGCAGACAGCAAGACCAATGATAGGGCTTAAAATTTGTGCCACTGAGAAGGACCTTCAAAAATATTTTCTCCTTAAATAGAAAGATCTAGTTCATTTATGTTATATAAGTCCAGCTCCAGTCATTCCTCTCTGAGGAGCCTTCCTAATCCGCTCCAGGCTGCAGTAGACGCTGTCACTTCCTCAGGTTCACTGACACTCATTGGGCAACTTAATCGCCTCATGCTTCGTGGCAACTCCTGTGTTGCTGCTCTTTACCAATTCACAAGGCTATTATTGCTCCCAAACTTTTCATGTTTTTATATTTTCCCTCCTCTAATAGACTATAAGCCCCCTCAGGGCAGGGATCATGTCTAACTATTTTGGGTGACTCTCTGTAACACAGCAGTGCCTGAAACAACGACTATTTGGTGATTGATAATCAATACAATCAGCAGAGCACAACTTTAACTACAGCAGGAATACAACTGAAAATGGCGTTTCCCCCGTCCACACGTGCCTCAAGGGCTACATGTGGAGAAGCTCAGGAGACATATGAAGCCCACGACTGTGATAAAGTAAAGGAGGCTGCGGGTGTGGAAAGAAGTGTGCCACAAGCCTGAAGAAAGGAGACGAAGGTGCCTGCGTTGACATCAGCCTGTTTTACAAACAATGCTTCGGATCATGGAGCAACCAGTTGGATTATGTTTATAAATTGTACAAACAGGTAGATCATCAAAAGTCATCACTATTCAGATGACACTATAAGGCAAGAACTCTAAAACTGAATTTGTGATTATGTGGACAAGAATATCGGTGTCCAGGATCTAAGGTGCATTCCGTCACTTTTAACAACAGCTCTTTCTGCAGGAAATTTAGATTCTGCCCAGAAAGCCAGCCCACCCCTGCCCGGCATCCGGGACACAGCGCCTTCGGCAGTAACTAGTGAAGTCTGCAGTTCACTGGAACAAGGACAAAGCGAGACCTCCTCATATCAGCTTTCTGTCTTTTTGGAAACCACATCTTGTCTAGATGAAAAGGAAAAGCTCACAAGTAGAAAAGTGGAGAAGATGCGAGACAAGCAAAATCATTACTTAGAAACGTCCAGCTGGGCGTCTGGCCAGCACGTGCCTCTCTGACAGTTCCTCTTACGCTCCTATATGGGCCACCTGCTCCACATTTAGACTCCCTCCCATGCAGTCTGCCTGCTGCACAGAGGCGCATTTGGGGACTAGAGCCATACAGGCGTTTTAAAATGAATATTTTATGAGGGCCTGGCTGCTCCTGAGATGACACGAGATCTCCCTGGGGACTTTGGCACAGGCCAGAAAAGCCTTGCTTCTGAAAGATGCCCCAACGTGCTTCTGCCCAGCAGATGGCAGCTGTCATTTATTCATTAGTGACCTTTTCTGACGGAGCTTTAATATTTGAATTAATTACACTCTGCATGCCTTTTCCCCCTTCTCCCCGAGAGGCAGTTACCTGGCGGCAATTCCTCCTTGCCGCAGATTCGATACTCGAGGCTTGCCATCCTTATCGATTCCGCCCGAGACAGTCAGCCCGAGGGTCGTGCCTTCCTTCTTCATCAGCTCAACCACAGTGGAGCCCTTGAATTCCTCTGCGAAAAGAAAAGCATTGGCCTTATTAAATGAGAGGAGGAGCACAAGTTGGTGTTTTGTGTGTCTGTGAAATGACTCTTCCCCATATACTCTTCCCACTTTTTCTTTTATGAGAAAAGATCTGTGGGCTCTTTTCCATTGCGGTTTGCAGAGGATCTCATAAAGATGTGTGTGTAGATAAAGCAGAGGCAGATATTCCATTATAGATTATTAAAATGGGTACCAGTGGGGTAGTTCACTCCGGCTTCACAATAAATAGTCCGACTCCGTTTCTGCACAAATGATAATATTTGCCCTTTGTTTTCTGCCATTCTCAAGTGACTTTCTCTGGTTTCTCTCCTTGTAACTCCAAAGGGAACAACTGAGAGTTGTAAGATAAGGGGCTAGAACAGAATTTTAAATAATAACACACATGCACAAAGTGCGGCAGCCGACTCTAAGTTCCTGGCACATTTCAGCTGAGGAAGACAACTGACTCAAGAGAAGAGAGCTTTCCACAGGCTCGAGAAAAATCTTACGGACTCTTTACTTTTTTTTTTTTTGTCTTTCAGAAAGCAGAGTACAATGGCTGCATGCAAGAACTCACATCATCTTACGGAACGTGTTACAATACGGTAAGGCGGGGCTGGTGCCCGGAATCCCCAGGTAACTGCTGTAAATCCCTCACTCTGGACTTTCAAAACCTGAAAATCTCACAGTTCTTGTGGGGATAATATCTAAACACTAAGAGGGAACCCAAACCTTTTGATTTTAGGCACGATAGAAGGTAAGAAAACTTTAAGAATATCCTGCCTTTCAGAAATACAAATAAGTAGTGTCAACATTTACCTATGTACAGGCTAATTATGACAAATACTTAAAAATTCTCTGTTATGTTATCCCCCCTCAGCATATACACTTTCCGGGTAGGAAAAATGGGGAAACTGGACAGTTTTCCAATTCCTCTTGAATCAGATTATGAATTTCAAGAGTTATGAATTTATAGGACATCTAAGACCCCCCTATTAAAATGCAAAAAACAGACTTTCTTTTTCAAAATCAAAAAACCAAAAAGGTCATTTGTAAATTTCTGCCCTTTCTTTAATCATACAAAACAGAGTTAATTATCATTTCAAAAATCTATATGAATGCTTATCATAAAGGTTTTTCAGTTGTTGCTGCTGGTATACTATCCCACCAGCCAATGAAAAAAATCAAATCATGCAGGGAAGAAAACAATCTCTCCTCCAGTCTGGTAAGGAGAACAGAGTACCCGGGGAAGGAGACAGGAGGTGGGGACAGGCCCCTGATTTCCTCAGTGACCTACAGAATGTCACTCCAGGCCAGGCTTTCACGACTGCCTGGTCCTGGAGCACCCCAGCGGTCCTTCCTCTCATGGCAGTTTCACGACACTGCATACGTGAGTTGTTACCGTCCTTTACGGCAGAAGCCAAAGAAGAGTCTATGAGCGTGGACGACGTCAGCTTCATTGACTACATTTTGTATGAGAGACCAAATAATGGTTGACACGCAAGGATCAAAATTCTTGTCAAGTGTATAAAAGCACAGGGCCTTATATAGCATTTACCAGAAGCTTTTGTAACTGAAGTCCACCACTGTCTGCATTTCACCTGCGCCCCCTTAAAATAGAACAAACAACCTTCTATACATCGTATAAAAATATACATAGGCCCAACTGATATTTGAAGGGATCAACTTAACAAACAACCCCTGTAAATCCTTCTTGGCAGAAGGCTAGGTATAAATTATTAAAAAAATAAGGTTAATAATTAAAGAATGAATATAGCATCATAGATGACCAATCAGATTACAGAGAGGTAACGTTCTCAAGAATTTTCCCCAACAAGGAATTCTGTGCATTTTCTTTAAGTATCTAGATTGATTCTGTATATTTAACCATTTCACTGTAGATCTTTACTTGAAGAGTTGGAAGCATAGTTTTTTAAGGGCCTGTTTTAAAGATTTTATTTTTCCTTTTTCTCCCCAAAACCCCCTAGTGCGCAGTTGTATATTGTAGTTGTGGGTCCTTCTAGTTGTGGCACGTGGGACGCCACCTCAGCATGGCTTGATGAGCGGTGCCATGCCTGCGCCCAGGATCCAAGTTTGCAAAACCCTGGACCGCAGAAGTGGAGCGCAGGAACTTAACCACTCGGCCATGGGGCTGGCCCCAGGGTCTGTTTTAAAGGTCAACCAGAAATGCACAAAGAAGCAACTATGAAATAGTAATACCGGGCAAGTAAGATATAAGTTTCAATTAATGAGAACTTCATTCCTGCTCAGGTTTTCAAGAGCATGCTTCCTGCATAAAACGGGATACCAGTACACAGGCGCAGCCTTATGAGATGTGGGCAATACAATTTTATCCAGAAGAAACCCACACCCTTCCCAGGCTTCTGGATGAATCCTGAAAATCTAGAAAAGCTCAATTCCTTTAGTTTAATTTGATCTCTGTTAAAATATAAATCTATCTGGGCTGCTTTTTAAACAGGTAATAGTCAATTACCCTCTTGCTTAAAAACATTTCAAATCTTTCCCCAAGAGCTAGATTTAATAACATGAAAGAAAGAAAATATTCACGCATCAGCAAATTGAGTAATTTGCACATTCATCTATTCAAGCATTTATTGAGTGCCTACTATGAACAGCCAGACAATGAAAGTCAAAGGTGGAAGAAGTCAGAGATGCTTACAGCCTAGTCACGGAGGCAAATGAATCAAAGACCACCAGCCTCAGTGTGGGCTGTGGGGAAGGTGGCCACAGAGGAGACAGTCTTGGCAACAATGTCAACTGAAGGCTTGCTCTTCTAAATGCAACACTTATTTCACAATTTTGTCTTCTGTCTAATCTATCTGCATTTATTGACCAGGATTAGCTGAGCAGACCAAAGGAGGAATCTAAATTACACAAAACTCAGGAGTAAAGATAGGATATTGTTCCAGAAAATGTGCTGAATCACAAGAATGTTAACCGCCAATATGTATCTTGGGTCCCTGAAGGATGGACTAAATCTTTTATGGGTGTTTTGAAAGGGAGTAGGAGAAAAGAAGCAATCAGGAGAGGAAGGAACATCCTTCTGGAGTTTGCTTTCTGCTAACCTGCGCTCTCCACTAGACTAATCAATCCTTTTATGTCTTTTTTGGTGTTTAATGTCTGCATAATGATCTAATGGCAAAGAGAAATGGAGACAGATGCCTTCAGTTGCATGAGTTCATCTATACATCAAAGCTATGGAAGAAAGCTCTGCAGTGAACAGTGGAACTTGGGCAAGTCAATATGCACGGACAATTTCTCTGTGAATTACATTGCAAATAGCCCTCCCCAAATCAAGAGGACTACGAAGAGAAGATTGTCCTCTCTCCAAATTAGCAAGCAACACAGGGAACAGATGATACCCAACCAGCAAGGAACGAGATGGTTCTGGATTTGATGTTTTCCTTAATCATCTGATTTAATTATCTTAGAAAAGAAATTGCAGGATGACATCTGTATCAGTCCCCACTCAATGCAACCAACAAGAATCTCACTGACAGAATGGGATTCAGTTATTTGCTGTTTTTCTTTGGGTTCGTAATTCAATCCTCTTAATTACTGAACTCCAGAAAGTTTTAAGAAAAGTAACAATGATGCCTGGTGAAAGCAAGAGAATTATGAGAAGTTCTTGCAAATAAGAAAATGCAATAACATAGATGGTTACAAAATTAATACCCAGAAAATCATAGCTTTTATATAAGCAACCAGTTAGAAGTTATCATAGAAGAAAAAATACCCATTTATAAAATGGGAGCCCAAAAGTAAAATCCATTACGAAAAATTTAACGAAAAATGTATAAGATCTAAAGGAAAAAAACTTTTAACACACTTGTGAGGGATATGAGATCCGAACAAATGGAAAGGCATCCCACTCATTCATTCCGTAAAAACCATGCACTTGCTATGTGCCAGGGACTATTCTAGGCTTTGAAGATACACAACACACAGAAGATACAGAGAAAATCCGTGCCATCTAGGAACTAATATTCCAGTGGAGAGCATAACCCAACATCAAAAATATGTCATTTATCTCTAAATTAATCCATGAAATTCACAATATCAATAAATATGCCAAGAGGATTTTTTGGGCACAAGAAATATTTCATATTATTACAAAAATGAAACATGCATCGTTGCAAAGATTCTGTGAAAAAGTGTGCTCCCAAAGTATGCCAGCTTGCTGTTTAATGCGGCTGTGAAAGAATAGAGAGAGCCTGCCGGTGAAGCCTACCTGAACAAAGTCATGGAATTATGACTGGATGTGGCACGACCAACCCTATCTCCTCTGAGGGAGATTATAAAAAGAACCAGACACCCCGGAAGCAGGAGCCTGGGGTGGGGAGGCTGGCAAAGCCTCTGTCTCTGCCCCCCAAGCATTGGTCAGAGTCTAGATCTGCTTGGCTATACAAAAAAAAAAAAAAAAAAAAGAGAGAGAAAAGAAAAGCATCAGAGGCACAGGGCATTCAGAACCCATAAGAGATCATCCTAGTGTTCTCCATACACTATTTTACAGAGAAAAACAAGGTACAGCATACTAATTTCATTGTGTTCTGTGAAACTCTTGGTGTCTGGAAATTCCTGCCTCATTGCTTATTTAAAAAGTATAATTAGGCTTAGACCAGAGAAAGGGAGTTAGCTTTTTCCCCAAATTCAGGGGCTAGATGAACAAGGGTTACAAAGTGAACAATTGTAACAACAGTTGCCAAAAGAGGGGAGACAGATAAAAAGTGATGATGACAGCAAAGAGTGATGAGGGCTATCACGGTGCAGCCTGGAGGATCCCTGTCAGACTGGGCAATTTGTGGTTCCTTGGAGGAGTTATCCCTAAGTCTGAAGACAGCCTGAGCTCAGCAAATGGGGTGGGGAGGATGTTAAAGGCAGAGGACCAAGAAATGGTGGGCGATCACATGGGTTCTGGGGAGAGCGAGTCCATCAGTTCAATCCGCACTTTCTCAATTCTAGCTGCATG